CTAATCCACCAGAGCTTGAAGCGGTAGAGGTTAAAGCAATTGGCTTTGTTGTTGTTGTTGTTATGTGCCCTCGAGTCAGCCCTGACTCATAGCGACCCCTCCTTGGGTTTCCGAGGCAGTATCACTACGGAAGTGGAAGTAGGATTGCCCAACCTTCCTTCCGAGGAGTGGCTGGTGGGTTTGAACCGCCAGCCTTCTGGTTAGCAGTCAAGTGCCTTAGCCACTCTGCTACCAGAGCTCCCAGAGGTAGATAAATAAACTGGGTGTGAGTTCTGACTGCGCCACTTGGTAGCTATGTGACCTCCCTGGGCCTCAAGTTCCTGATAGAGATATCACTTCTTAACTCAGAAAGTTGTTATAAGAAACCATATGTAGCATATAATTAGTGTTCATGAAATATATACTGAATGAGTGCTGAATGGTTAGGTAAAGCACAAAAACAGTATTTAGAAGGAACTCTAAATACTGTTTAGTGTACACAGCGATATGCTGGTAAATGTCAACAGCTAGTCCTACTCACCTTCTTCCTTCCAACCCCCAAAGCTCTTATTTATAGCACTTGCCTATTTCTGTAGTGTAAATATTCCCATTATGGCTGATTTCAAGCTACCAAAGTGACATCACTGAATGCAGAATTGGGAAATGTCTTTCACAAAACAGTATGAGTCATCTCCAGCAGAGACATTACATTTTATTATTATTAGCAATCAATCTGTGAAAACTAGGATTATATGACAGTTGATGATGTGCCTTAAATTCTTTTCCCTGAGCTGCCACATGGAGAAAGACATTGACAAACTGTTGTTTCAGAAATGGAGAACACGCCGCCTCAGGAACCAGTGCAGCCATCCACTCAACTTATCTTTTCTGAAAGGCAAATTATGCTCAGGGTTGAAAGACACACCCAGTGTAAAAGCTCTGGCAGCAGTATTCTGCAACTGTATATGCTCCATGAAGCTAACCTGTGTCTCTATAAAATTCAATTGTGACCGCATTCTGCAGGATCAGTTGAGGTTGCTAATTATTAAAAAAGAGAAAAAGAAATAACTTGAAGAATGTCTATACTTCCAAGTTTTGGTAGAAATTATAACACTCTAAACACAAAAAAATTCTAAAGATATTAATCTCTTTGATTTAAAGAGCTATATTTTTGGTAAAGAATTTATAGTATAGAAGTTGTTTTTTTTTTTTTTATTAGGATTTGGGTGAAGATTTACAGAGTAAATTCACTTTTCATACAGCAGTTCACATATACTTTGTCTCATGTCATTGACCAAAATTTACAATGCAGCAGCTCCCCTCCCACTTCCTCCCCATAGTTACCTCCTCCCAGTGTTCATCCCTTCATACTCTTTGAGAGGCCCATTGTCTGCCAACCCTGTATATGATCTTGGATACACTCTCCATTTAGACATACATAATTGTTTAGCTTGTTCACCCGTCTATCCGTCCCTATACCCATGTTTGCTTTCATTAACAACTCAGTATTGTATTTACAAAGGGGTTCATATTTGTTGTTTGTACTGCCCATGTAACTCTCTCTGTCTTTCTCATCCTCAATGCTGCCATATTGGTCACTCACATTTGGTACATTGCCCTAGAAGTTGGTTTTGTTCTTTTAGGACTTTCTTGAACATATAAGTTGTTGGTCCATTCTTATTTCCTCCTTTTATATCTTTTTCCCACATCTCCCAATACTTTGTCTTAAGTGACTTTTATATAGAATTGAAATATAGGCTTTATTATATTCTATTTATTAAATAAGATTTTCTGCCTCATCTTCTGACTTAGATTTTTTCCCTTAGGAGTCAGTTGTTTTAAAATTTTAAATTAATTAATTAACAATTCCCCAAAGCTGTGACATTGAATAAAAATGTCTTTTCTTGCTTTTGAAATGCCTCACAACATCTGATACAGTGATAGCTATATGGCCTCAAGCTGATACATTTTATTAAGTAATAAAATCACGGACAAGAATCAAACTCACAGATAATCGCATTATTTGGCATGGGGCAGGAAGCTATCTTCTGGGTACGTTTACTTAAATTCCCTTCTACATACATCTGAAACTACAGTCTTTGTCCCTTCCTTTTCCAGTTTATGCATTTATCAAATGCCTACTATGTATGTACCAAGTGCCTGGCATAAAAAGAGTAAGGTGCTCTCTGTAAGGAACTAACACTCTAGCCAGGAATCCAAGAATTCTGGAGCTGGCCAAGACTGATACGTCTCTGTTACCTGTGCTTTGGGTGTCCTGAATGAGACACGATCAGTTTTCCTGGGGAGGATAGTAGGGGAGCAGAAGAAATGGTATAGGACATTCCTGCTTGCTTCAAGCCCTTATCTTCACTCCCAATGAAATATGAGTATCATAAATGAAAACCAAAGCAAGAGCTCTAAAAACTCATAATGACTTTATAATCCAGAGTTCCTCACAATGCTTTTTCTTACTTTTAGTGTGATATTTTTACTTTATTAGTTGCCATTGCCCAATAGAGGGGAAACAGGCTGAAGAGTATCTGGATAATCCCCAGATTTTATTTTTCCCATTTTATTTGGTACTTTTTCCACATCAAAAAAAAAAAAAAAATTTAACAGTAGTACATTTTCCCCTGATTTGACTTTCACAATCATTTCCTCTCTCTACAGAGACCACAGTGGACATCAGAAAGGCCTTAATCACAGATACTGGCTCTTACATTTGTTTACTTACTGCTTAGTTCATGGAAAGTTACTGAATCTTGCTAGAGTCAGTTTTCTATTCTGTAAAACAAGGATGACAATATCTAGCAATAGCTAATAGCTAATACCTAACAGTATGGCTTCCTGTGTAGATTAAGTGAAATGATGATTATAAACCACCTACTACAGTGCCTGGAGCTCTGGTAGCATAGTGCCTAAGGCGCTTGACTGCTAACCAGAAGGCTGGCGGTTCAAACCCACCAGCCACTCCTCGGAAGGAAGGTTGGGCATTCCTACTTCCATAGTGATAGTGCCTCGGAAACCCAAGGAGGGGTCGCTATGAGTCGGGGCCGACTCGATGGCAAATAACAACAATAACAACACAGTGCCTGGCCGATAGTAGTTACTCCTAATAACATATGATAATAATGATAACAATTATGACTAATAAGAATGTACTCAAACCAAAAACTCACTGCCATCAAGTTGGATCCGACTTATAGAGACTCCTCCTTAGGTTTCCGAGGTGGTATCACTACAGAAGCAGATTGCCCAACCTTCCTTCCGAGGAGTGGCTGGTGGGTTTGAACCGCCAGCTTTCTATTTAGCAGCCAAATGCCTTAGGCACTCTGCCACCGGAGCTCCTAAGAATGCACTAGAATGGCTAAAAGGTTGTTGTTAGCTGCCACAGAGTCAAATTTTGACTGAAAGCAACCTTATCAACAGTGTAGAACTGCCCCATAGGGTTTCCTAGGCTATAATTTTTATGAAACCAGGCCACCAGATGTTTCTCCTGAGGAGCTGCTGGGTGGGTCTGAACCACTCTGAACCGCTCTACTTAGCAGCTGAGCACTTAACCATTGTGTTATCAGGGCTCCTCCTATCAAAAGAAAATACTAGAAAATTAAATAATTCATTTAATTGATATTCAACTCTTAAAAATAAGACTGACATTGATTCTGCAAAAGAACAACAATAAAAAGCCAAAACTACAAAACAACAATTTGAGAGAATTGACAGAGTCAGTCATTTGATGATCTCTGCTGTCCCAAACATTTTCCCTACAAGAGGAAGACTCAGGTGAATCATTTAAATACAATAGCTCAGGTGCTCCCTGAGTCTGGAACTGGCTGCCAGCTTAGATTCACTGCGAGTGTCACATCCACATCTTTCTGTTCATTCTCTGCATTGTCATCAATGCCTCCACTTCAGAGTAAGTTTTTGGAGAAATTATTACTTTCCAAACCTACTGCTGAGCAATTTATCACCAATTACCTCATATAACTCAGTCTTTAATTTGCAGTATAGTTCATTGTACGAGTAAATAGTTTTTGGAGTCAGATACCAGGATTGATGTTCTGGTTCTGCCATTTACTAGATGTGTAACTTGGGCATATTTCTTAATTATCCGAAGCCTCAATTTTCTGATCTTTAGAATGGGGGAAAATATCTCCCTCTCTCAAAGGTGGTTGCAGGGACAGACCCCTTAGCACCATGCCTTGACTTCAGGAAGCACTCAGTCAATGTTAGTATTGATGTACTTTGCGACATAAATGTTCAGAAACAGACAATTCTGATCCTCACTACCTGCCCACCACCTTTCAGTGTCAACATTTACAAATTCACATGAACTGTATCCTAAATATCATATATTTTGACTGAAGTTTCCACCCAACATTTTTGCCCTCTTTCCCTCTTACCTTTTGACTTGTACTACATTCTGAGGCAAATAACAACAGCAACAACGCATTCTGAGGGCTTTCCCTGTGTTCCCTGCTTCCCTCCCCAGTCTTTTTTCACAGATATTTTCTGTAATAAAAATCTTGCACCTTTATCCATCCATCTGAGTGTTATATTTCTTGGATGACACAGGCTTTTTGTGTGTGTGAGTGATTTGGGTTAAAGTTTACAGAGCAAATTCATCTTCCATACAGCAGTTCACATATACTTGGTCTCATGACATTGACTGTAATCTCCCACAATACAACAGCTCTCCTCCCACTTCTTCCCCATAACCACCTCTTCCCTATAGGACCCAGGCTTTTGCCAAAAGGCTCCCTCAGGCTCTGAACTTGCCTAGGAAAACCTGACTTGGTCCATCAGGAAACTCTGACACCAATGAAAAGGGCAAATGCATCTATCCAGTGATTCTTTCTTTGAAAATTAGTATTTGTCTGTAATCTCCCATAACAATCCTGACATCCCAGGAATATGTTAGAGTGTGATGCAGCAACAACAATGACAACACCAAACCTGGCATCAAGGAGCATGTGTCAGCCCAGCCCAGCCTGGGGTAATAGCAACTTGCACCCACTCACCTGGTCTCTCTGTTTGATTCGCTTGTAAACATATTCAGCAAATGGTTTGCAAGGAATAAACTTCCCATCGCCTGCTGTGACATTGAAAACTCCAGCTTCATACACCACTTTGCCTCTTGAGATTGTAACCAGGGGCACTCCATGGCAGACCATGCCCTCAAAGATGTTGAAGTTCACAGCCTGATGATGGGTTTTTGCAGAAATAGTCCTGTGTTTGTAAAAACAAAAATGCTCCTGATCATCACTAGTTCATTTAATGAGGATAAAATATTAAAAGAAGAATGACTTAGAAGAAAATTTAGTAACTCTATTAAGCCACAGCTTTATCACTGTAACAAGTGACTTTAAGAATAGAACTTGGCATTAACATTTCATTACAAAGTAATTATATTTTCTGAGACAAAGAACCAATAGACAACTGTTTAAGGTGATTAATGGCGATGAGGTAGAAGAGCATTCTCTCTCATGTTTAAACTTTTCAATTATTTTATTTACATTATTAAACAACAACATATTCTTTTTCAATTTGCAATTATGAAACTTTTCACACACAAGTGAGAGTGATGAACATACATTGACCATTATCCAACCCTACAGCATTCTAAGCATTCCAACTTTTCACAGATTCAGTGGAGGCTCCTTTATGTCCCTTTCCAAGACCTACTGCCATCATTCTCTTCCAAATGTAATCACTACTCTGAATTGGTAATTATCAAGGAAAATAACATCTTGAGTTTTTTTCTCCATTGTCTGTAGCAAAACTGGAAGTTTGGGGATAATAAAAATAAGCATGTTAGAATAGAATCTCCTAGCACAGTAAGTGTCATGCTTTTGCACATTCATCCTCACTCTTAGCAGTTCATTAATGCTTTTCAATCTTATACAATATGAATGGTGACATCTAGATAGATGGCTGGGTGTTTAGAAATGCTGGGTACCTCCTTTCCTTAAATCTCATTAAACACAAAAGAAAAAGTATTCTGGCAGCAGTGAAAAATATGAGCATAATCTGGGTTCTGGTGGAACTGTCCATAACCTCCTTCAGAAATGGATTAAAGAGAAATACTCTGCTGAAAAGCTCAAGGGTCCCTCAACCCTAGTCTGGAAGGGCCACTGCTGGGACACTCAGAGAGCCATTGCAGGCCTGGAGGTACTACAGTCCTAGAAGTGAGGAGATAAGGCTTGGTCCTAGGCTTCAGACTCCTCTATCCAACTGCCAACTGTTGCTGTTGTATTGGGTGCCGTCAAGTTGTTTCCGACTCATAGCGACCCTATGCACAACAAAACGAAACACTGCCCGGTCCTGTGCCAGCCCCACAATCCTTGCTATACCTGAGTCCATCATTGCAAATCACTGTCAATCCATCTCATTGAGGGCCTTCCTCTTTTTCGTTTACCCTCCACTTTACCAAGCATGACATCCTTCTCTAGAGAATGGTCCCTTCTGACAACATGACCAAAATTAAGTGAGATGAAGTCTGGCTATTATTGCTTGCAAGGAGCATTCTGGCTGCACTTCCTCCAGGACAGATTTGTTAGTTCTTTTAGCAGTACTTTCAGCACTCTTCACCAACACTACAATTCAAAACCATCAACTCTTCTTTGAGTTTCCTTATTAATTGTCCAGCTCTCACGTGCATATGAGGCAACTGAAAATACCATGGCTTGGGTTAGGCCTACCTTAGTCTTCAAGGAGACATCTTTGGTCTTTAGCACTTGAAAAAGGTCTTTTGCAGCAGATTTGCCCACTGCAATATGTCTTCTGATGTCTTGACTGCTGCTTCCATTGGTGCTGATTGTGGGACCAAGTAATATGAAGTCTTTGACAACTTCAATCTTTTCTCCATTTATCATGATGCTGGTTATTGGTCCAGTTGTGAGGATTTTTGTTTTCTTTATATTGAGGTGTAATCCATATTGCAGACTGTAGTCTTCAATCTTCGTCAGTAAGTGCTTTAAGTCATCCTCACTTTCAGCAAGCAAAGTTGTGTCGTCTGCATATCACAGGTTGTTAATGACTCTTCCTCCAATCCTGATGCCACATACTTCTTCAAATAGTCCAGCTTCTCTGATTATTTGTTCAGCATGCAGATTGAATAAGTATGGTGAAAGGATACAACCCTGACACACTCCCTTCCTGATTTTAAACCATGTAGAATCCCCTCGTTCTATTTGAACAACAGCTTCCTGGTCTGTGTACCATTAGTACAATGAAGTGTTCAGGAATTCCCATTCTTCTCAATGTTATCCATATTTGTTATAATCCACATAATCAAATGCTTTTGCATAGTCAATAAAACACAAGCAGACATCTTTCTGGTATTCTTTGCTTTCAGTCAAGATCCATCTGACATCAGCAATGCTATCCTTCATTCCACGTCCTCTTCTAAATCCACTGGCTACTTGCTTTCAGTCTTAACATGCCCAACTAGAATTCTTGATTGCCAATGCCTACCACAACCCACTTACTCAAATTTACTTCTTTCTTGAGTTCCCATCTCAGGAAATGACACTACAATCTACCTAAGTAGCTGAAGTCCAAAACCTAGAAGTCAACTAGGAATATTTTTCCTTTCTCTACCCTCTCCAACAATTTTCAACCTTTATTGGTTACATCTTTAAAAAGAAAAAAATCCCAAATCTGGCTACTTCTCTTGTCTCTGTTCCTGTCACCAAGTCCATGCCACACTCATCTCAGACCTGCACTATCCCAACATATATTCACTGGTCTCTTCTCCTCAAGGCTGCGCAAATGAGCTTTTAAAAATGAAAATCAGATCATGCCATTCTCTTGCTTAAAATCTCCAGGGGCTCCAGTCTGTTTCCCAAGAGTTACAGAGATAGTTTAAAAAAAAAAAAAAAAAGCAAAGATAATAATAAAAAACAGAAGATACCCCCAGTGAGAAATACCTACATGGAAAAGAAAGAGGAGACTCCTGTATGTCAAGCAGATGATTTCTAACATCATATTTCATTTTTATAACACCTCTGTAAGGTACAGAGTATTTTCCACATTTTACAGGCAAATAAACTGAGATTTAAAGAGGTTAAGTCACTTGACAAAGGACATAAAACTAGTTTGTTGCAGCTAGTTTTTTTACCTCCACTTTTTAAACCAAAATCCAATAAAAATGATGGTTTCCTCGTATGCAGTTTTATGAATTCTGGCATAAGTACAGATTCCTGTTCCATCCTCATAATCAGACATAGAACAGTTCTATCACCCCCAAAACCCTCTCATTCTCTTTGTATCACACCTTCTCCCCCTCAAGTCCTAGCAACCACTGATCTGTTCTCCATCACTGTCGTTTTGCCTTTTGAAGAATGTCACAGAAATGGAATCATACAGTATGTAATATTTCGAGACTAAACCAAAAAAAAAACCAAACTCACTGCCGTTGAGTCAATTCTGACCATAGCGACCCCTCCTTGGGTTGCCGAGGCAGTATCACTACGGAAGTAGATTGCCCAGTCTTCTTTCTGAGGAGTGGCTGGTGGGTTTGAACCCCCAGCCTTCTGGTTAGCAGCCTAATGCCTTAGGAACTATGCCACCAGAGCTTCTATTTTGAGACTGGTTTCTTTTATTCAGCAGGATGTCTTTGAGCTTCATCCAAGTTGTGCATCTCAATAGTTCATTCCTTTTTATTGCTAAGTAGTATTCCACACGTATAAGGTACCACTGGGTGTTTATCCACTTACCCACTGAAGGGCATTTGGATTGTTTCTAAGCTTTAACAATTGTGAATAAAGCTGTAATAAACATTTGTGTACATACTTTTGTGTGAACATTTTCCTGGTGTGAATACCCAGGAGTGGAATTTCTGGGTCACATGGTAAGTGTATGCTGCAACAACAACAAAAAAAAACTTTCTATGGCCATAGGAACCAACTCACTGGTTTAAAGAAAAGTTTAAAAGATCACAAATGAATAGGAGGTAGGTACAAATGCAGCAACAATAATTTTAAATATGGAGGAGGGAAATATTGATCAAATGGTAAATAATATCATTAAAGAAGAAGTTGTTAATGAAATATACAAGTTCAACAAATGTAAATTTAGGAAACAACATAGAGGTGTTTCAGACTTTCAGGTTATAGTAACTTTTTAAGGCCACTGTAATCTCTGCCATAATATTTCCAGAGTGTGGGCTGCTACTTTTCTACACATTACAGTTCCACTAATGGCATTGCACCTAACCTCTTGGCCTAGTAAATCTTGACTGATGCACTGGTGGCATAGTGCCTAAGGGATTTGACTGCTAACCAGAGGGCTGGAGGTTCAAACCCACCAGCCACCCCACAGAAGGAAGATTGGGCAATCTACTTCCATAGTGATACTGCCTTGGAATTCTAAGGAGGCATTGCTAGGAGTCGAATCAACTTGACGGCAGTGAGTTTAGGTGTTTTTTTTTTTTTTTTTTAATAGGAAGAAAGCAAAATACATAAAAATCCATATTGAACGAGTTTTTGAAGAATAAGATTAGGATGGAGTAAAGGGAAAATTCTAAATCATAAAACTCTATTTTAGAAAATAATCCAACAGATACACTAAATTCTATCCACCAAGATTGTCATTATGGTATTAGCCAAAATATTAAACATCTGAAGCATTACAAGTTTCCAGTGACCACTCAATGAAGTATTGTTGTTATGTGCCATTGAATCAGACCTGACTCATAGTGACCCCTCCTTGAGTTTCTGAGGCAGTATCACTACGGAAGTAGATTGCCCCATCTTCCTTCTGAGGAGTGGCTGGTAGGTTTGAACCCCCAGCCTTCTGGTTAGCAGTCAAGTGCCTTAGGCATTATGCTACCAGAACTCCTCAATGAGATATTAGGCATCTACAAAAAAAAACTTGCATTAAGAATACTCTGGGGAAGTAAAAAAAAAGTAATGCTGTAATATTAAATGGAAAAAGCAGGCTATACCGAGTTTGTACACTATGTCTACAGGCAAAATGCATATGCATGTGGACAAAGATAAAAGGAAATACACACAATAAAGTTTTTGTGCTTTGAGAGAAGTGAACATGGAAAATTATCTTCAGAGTTCTTTTTATATTGCTTCTGTGATTTAAACTGTGGTTTTAAAAGGAGGTTGACAAAGAAAAATATCCAATTATATTTCTCTGCGTCAGGTCAGATAAAGGTCATTACCTTGACTTTTGGAGCTCTGGGGTTAGCAAGATAAAGAAGACAATTAGGCAAC